TCCGGCCGGCGCCCCCGGCCCCCGGCCGCCCCCGGGGAGTGCGGGTGTAACGGGGACCCCCGCAGCGGGGCCGTCACCCGGCCCGCGGGGACCAGCAGCGGGCACCGGGACCTGCACCGGGACCGGCACCGGGTCCTGCACTGGGACCGACACCGGGTCCTGCACCAGGACCATCACCAGCACCGGGTCTGGCACCGGGTCCTGCACCGGGACCATCACCAGCACCGGGTCTGGCACCAGGTCCTGCACCAGGACCGACACCGGGTCCTGCACTGGGACCAGCACCAGCACCGGGACCAGCACCAGCACCAGGTCTGGTACTGGGGCCATCACTGGCACCGGGTCCTGCACCGGGACCGACACCGGGTCCTGCACTGGGACCAGAACCAGCACTGGGTCTGGTACTGGGGCCATCACTGGCACCGGGTCCTGCACCGGGACCGACACCGGGTCCTGCACTGGGACCAGAACCAGCACTGGGTCTGGTACTGGGGCCATCACTGGCACCGGGTCCTGCACCAGGACCGACACTGGGTCCTGCACCAGGACCATCACCAGCACCAAGTCTGGCACCAGGGCCATCACTGGCACCGGGTCCTGCACCGGGACCGAGACCGGGACTGGGACGAGGTCCTGCACCAGGACCATCACCAGCACCGGGTCCTGCACCAGGACCATCTCCTGCACCGGGTCCTGCACCAGCACCGGGGATGCCCGGGTACTGCATAGCAGCGGGCAGAGGTGGGGGCACCCAGGGATGGCGGTGTCCCCTGCAGCGGGGAGAGGCCGGCACAGCGCTGCACCGTCCCCTGCACTGGGGACAGTGGGGGACACCTGTCACCCTGCGCAGCACGGTCCCTGCACAGGGAACACGCAAGCATGGCACCATCCCCTGCTTGGGGACACCGGGGCACCCCTGTCACCCAGCACAGCATGGTCCCTGCACCAGGAACACCCAGGCACAGTGCCATCCCCTGCACTGGGGACACCTGAGCGCTCCTGTCACCCTGCACGGTACTGTCCCCTGCACTGTCCCCTGGGGACACCCGGGCACAGCGTGGCACCAGCACCGCAGGACGCCCCGCACCAGGGATGCCTGTGCACGGCGCAGCAGCGGCGCAGCCCCTGGCACAGCCCCAGCGCACACTGCAGCGCGGCTCAGCCGGACCCCTGCCCAGCCAGCCCAGCTCAGCCCCCCGCTGCGACCCCCCGTGTCCCCCTGCCCAGCCCCTGCCTGTCCCCAGTGCCACCAGGGTGATGCGCTGCCCACGGCGGGTGCCCAGCGTGCCACGTGCCTGGCAGCCGCGGCCCAGCCTGGCCCCGCTCCCGGCTGCCGCAGGGGCTGCAGTGACGTGCCGTGCCCGGTACCACGGTGCCAGGGCAGAGCCGCTGAGCAGATTTGGGTCACGGCACTGGGACCAGCACAGCCCGGTGGCACTGGGGTCTCCGTGGGTGCTCATGGCATCGGCAGGGAGGGTTTCAGGGGTGCCAGCACCCTCCTGGGTGCCACGTGCTGGGTGCTGCCCTGGCCCCCAGCCAGGAGGAGAAGGTGCAGAGCACGGACGTGCCAGCGCCGGGAAATCCTCAGAGCTAATCCCACGGGAGGGGAGGCCTCGGGTGCCCTGGCCGTGCCGGGAGCCGCGGGCAGGGCTGTGCTGGGAGCCTGCGGGGTGCCCGCGGGGGGACACCAAGGAGCCCCTGGCACCAGCCCTGCCTGGTGCTGGGGGGCCCTGGGGACCCTCGCTGGGTGCTGGGGCTGCTCCTGGCTCATGGGGTGCCCCGCGGCACTGGGGCAGCGGGGACACCCCGTCACCCCGCAGGAAGTGCCCTTGCCCTGAGTCACCGGGCAGTTGCACAGTGCCATGGCCGCGCTGCAGCCAGCACCTCCGGCAGGGAGAAACCCCGGCAGCTCCCGGAAGGATGTGTGGGGCCAGGCTGGCATGGGCACCGGGGGACCCGGGGGGCCGCCTGCCCCGGGCTGGGGGCCCCTCGCTGCCCCATCCCCGCTCCCAGTGGCGTGGCCGTGCCTGAGCTGCCCCGAGTGTGCAGGTGCCACCGGCCCCGCACAGCGCCTCGTTCCCCTCCTGGCACGTTCCTGGGCCACGGCAATTAGCTGTGACTCAGCCGCTCGTCTCGGTTCGGAAAACAACCCTGTGCACGGCGCTGCGGCACACGGCACATGGAGCGGAGCTGGCCCTGCACAGGGATGCTCGGCCGGACCCGGCTGCTCAGCTCCCCCGGGGGTCCCCGGGATGGGTGCAGGGCTGGGAGGGATGAGAGAAATCCTGGGGGTTCCCACCGTGGGGCTGGGAGCCCGGCACAGCAGGTCGGTGTGAGGGTGCTGTGAGTGGGGCCCCCAGGGTGGGTGCAGCCGGGGCATCCCGGCAGCAGGATGGGGATGCCGGCTGGGGACGGTGTGTGGGCAGCAGGGCTGGGGCGTGGGGGCCACCAAAGCCACCGGGATGGCAGGGTGCTGCAGCCGGGGACGTGCCTGCTGTGCCCTGTGCCGGACCCTCGGCAGCCCCATGGCTGAGCCACCCCAGGGACGCTCCCAGAGGCCGGGGCTGTGCCCCGCGGAGCTCCCCGCAGGTCCCTGTGCGCCCCGACACGGCTGCGCCCGTGCCAATCGGCCCATGGTGCGGACAGGGCACCTCACCCCCCCCAAGGTCACCACGTGCCGCCGCGCTCAGGTGCCAGGTGAGCCCTGCGCAGAGCGGCGGGGGGACACACGCCAAACTGCACCCCCTGCACCACCCCCGGCTCCCCGCTTCCAGAGCCCCCCGGGAGGCACTGGCCCGGGCCCCCTCCCCGCAGCGGGGACCCCGCTGTCCCCCAGGGATGAGGAGGCAGCTGAAGAATCAGCTCGGGGGTGCCACGGAGCGGGCGCGAGGGCCGGTGGCCGCGTGCCCCGGTGCCCGGGTTGTCGGCGGTGCCGTGCGGCTGTGCCACGTGACTGCGCGCTCCGCTTGCCGGCAAATGCCTGCGTGCAGAGGGATTTATTTTTACTCCGGCCTGGCTGGGTTGTTTACCTTGTTGTACCTTTTCCAGGAAAGGGGGGGGTGCCTCTGCTGGGAACAGGGGTTTGTTCCTGCCTGTCACCCCCCCGGGCTGGGCACCGGGGGTCCGGCAGGGTGCAGACGCCCCCCCCCAGCGCTGCAGCCCCAGCACCCCCCTGAGCCGGGACACCCTCCAAACCCACTGCTGGGCTGCAGCGTCCCCATGGGGTTGAGGACTCCAGGTCTGGCTGGGTCCCTGTGCCACCCTGGGGGACATCGTGCCTCAGTTTCCCCAGCCATAGGTGTGAGGCCGCAAGGGGGGCAACCAGAGATGCCAGGCCTCACCCCGCTTGGGGGGTCCTGTGCCCTCAAACCCCCGTTCGTCCCCACGGGATCCCACTGACAGTGGTGGGCAGGCAGGAGCCCTGGTGCCACTGCGGGGTGCCGGGCAGGGCCGGGGGCTCAGGGTTTTGGGGTGTTTTCCTGCTGTGCGGCAGCAGATCCGTGGCTGAAAAGCCGAGAGAAGCCCTGGCTCGTCCCCACCGCTCCTGGCCGGGGCCAGCAGCTCCCCCCCGCCCGGGACCCGCCTTCCCCC